CAACCACCGTGCCATGTCCAAGAACTGATGTAATAAAAAGATAACAGCCAGCAAAGATTGAGTACTCACTACATGCTGGGCACTCACTGTCTCACTGTACCAAGAGCTTAATATAGATTTTCCAGTGACCCTATGAGCTAATATCATCATCCTCAATTTTTCAGAAATGAGACACAAAGATAGTCAAACCATTTCTTGGAGCCACACATCGGAGTTGGCCAACCCAGCCGATTCTGATCTGGAGAAAGAACCCTGGCTTCACCGCTAACTGGACGTGAGCTCAGGGTCCCCATCTGCAACACATGGGATCTCTGCTGTCCCACCTAGCTCCATGAGTTAAAAATTCAAATGCTAGGAATAAAAGGAAAGAGACTGGAATGAGGCAGACCTCAGTACCTATGTTCAGTCTGTCATTGGCCAACCAGTATGTCCTCATATTCATTTTAACTTCCTTTGCCTTATTTTCTTCATCTGGGAAATAGGAGTATAAATTATTCCTCATAGTAAAATGTCAGGATTTAATGAAATAATAAGTATAAAGGCGACCTCATGGATTGCTGGGATATAGCAGCGGTTCCTCTCTTCCTGCTGTGATTTTTGCCATGAGCTTCAACTGGGGATACCACTTATTATTTTAAAGGGATTCGAGTTTTGTCTCTGTTCCTTTTGCCCACCATTAAGAGTATGTTCTGGTGATAAGAGTCATAACTTAAAGTATTCAGAAAGAAGAGAAATAAATGGGACAAGAGACCTGGAGAATCGGATTCATCTATATTATGACAGTTCTGGAGCAGCTTCTTCTCTTCAGTGAGAAGGCAACTCTTTAGCGGATAAAGGTTTATAGAGTTGTCACATGTAACCCACAAATCACAGGTCACTTTCTAGATGACTCAGACTTTCTGCTGAAACAGCATGCTTGTGACAGCTGCCCTTGAGAAGGCTCCTTCCTCAATGAAAGGGTGGGTTCAAGGTCCTTAGCTCAAAATATGACTGGACTGCATTAAATACCAGTTGCTTTCAAACTGCTTTCTAAATCTGGCCCTGGAGCTTCTCTGGTTTCACGAAGGGACACAGAAGTGCCCCGGCACACACTTAATACTCACTGTGCTGTGGGTGACCACAGAGTGACCCAAGAGTGAGGTGTGGGCAGGCTCCTGAGAGCCAACACAACAGTAGCTCTGCCCATTACAGGTCAGGGCAGTGCCCTCAAAGGATCCTCTGGTCACTTGAAAATTATAATTTTATTTTTAAATTATCGTTTAAAAAAATGTCCAAGTGAAAGCAATTCAACTTTGGGAAAGTCAAACAAATGTTGCTAGCAAAGAAACCCCAACCAGAAGCGGAGCTGCGATTGGCTATAGATGGAAAATCAAGACAAAATCCAGGGTGAGGTCAGATTCTCAAGTTCAAGGCAACACCAAAGAGGCAGCAGAGTCAAATGCTTTTATTAGTAATTAATAAAGACTATTTCTTGGCAAGAGTTTTTGGAGATTATATCATGGACTTCCCGATGAAGAAAGAGTGCATATTGTGAAAATGAATGAGTTGGTATTTATTTAGAAAGTCGCTTCTAGAATTCTCTAATAATTTATGAAGGAAAAGTTGAATAATTACCTCAGCATGGGCCACCAACAGGTGGCATGATGTTATAACAGATAAGCACTTGTAATGGCATTGCCAGTAGTGGGGGTCACAGTAAACAAGTACCCCCAAAGAATTCAGATATAAGTGAGATAACATTATGTCTGGGAGATAAACTGAAATGAATACACTATGGCTACCTTAGGAAATGGAGCCACCTTAGAAAATAGAATAGGTTCTCAGCTAAGAACACTCACTCTGTTGTAACAATGAAAACATCTAAAGAAAGAATGGGTTAGAGGAAGGAGACCTCAGAGACTAATCTAGCCCATTCTGAGGCCAGGTGTGCAGTCTTTGTTCTAGATGTATCATCATTTTAGGTCCAGATACATCGGCTTCTCTCAACCTAAAGGCAATCAACCGGTAGTTCTCAAATGGCAGCAGTTATCTGAAGAGCTCGTTAGAAACATAGATTCACAAGCTTCCCTCCCACAGAGTCTAGGCCAGTAGTAGGTCTGGGATAGATTTAGGACATCTGAATACTCATCAAGCCCTCTGAAGTACATGTCTTGAGGATCACACTCTCAGAAACTATAAACATCTAAATTCTATGGCAGTCTGGGGTCCAGGCTTCCCTAGAAACTTTCTGACAACTTGGCTTTTTGTGACACATACCGAGATCAAAAGTATGCGCAAGCCTGGTGACTCTTGTATCTCATTCAAGAGCTAGAGATTCTCATTATGAATAAATAAATTAACTTCTGACTTCAGGTGTGAGCCTCTTTCACCTGGCAAACCCACCTCAAATGTCTTGGATTTCTTTTCAAGAGCTTTTTCCCCCTCTATACAACACATTTTTGTACAGATAAAATATTGTATGCCAGATAAATTATTTAAGTTACAAGTAAATAATTAATTGTAAAGGGGGAAAATTTTTTAAACACGACATTTGCATGTCTTTTGGCTAGGCATAATCTTCAAAAGCAAATTATAAAACCCAGAGGCTATAAAAGTGTTTTAGTTAGGTTGGATTTTATAAAAATTTAAAACTTATATAGAATGATAGATATCATAATATAAGAAATTTAAGTGACAGAATGGGAGAAAATATTTTATTTTTATGCAATATTTAGAAGTTTCGAATTTGAATGATTTTAATGAGTTCCTTCAAGTCAATTGAAAATAAACAAGACAACTTCAAGAAAAATTGTCAAGATGCAATATTTGCCTACAATAATTGGGACATATTTATAAAAAAAATTTGTAGTTTATATGACATTCCAATTTAACTGGGTGTTCTGTATTGTTTTTAAGTCTGGAAATGCTAAAAGGATATGCATTTTCAATTTACAGCATGAGAGACATTAAGGATCCACAATCATTGAAAAGATGTTTAATATCATCATGCAAATGAAAACAAACATGAGTAATCCTTTTTTGTTCATTAAATTGGAAAACATTAAGAAAACACGTCCCTATTGACAGGATCCAAGGAAATATGCACTCAATACACTGTCTATGGAAATGTAAGCACAGAGAGACTTTCTGGAAAATCCAGTCAGCTGTGGTATAAGGACTAAAATTAAGGTCCAATATTCTGCGCTACCTTGACATTTGGTAAAACTTAGAGGGTCTTGAATGGCGTAACTGCAAGTTCCCTCCTCAATCTGACCCCATGGATAAAGGTCTCCTAACCAATAACCCTCAAGAGGATCAGGTGTGGTTCCTGCTTATCCCTGAGTAGTGGGTGTCGGTCCCCTGCCAGTCCATGCACTTATTCGAACAAGCCGATTGCATTATCCTCCACTACACCCTGCCCCGCCAGGCTATGACTGACAAATTATTACTAATCTCATCTGCCCAGTGGCACGTGGCACTCCCTAACCCTGGAGTGGGAATCCTATCCTCATCAGTTGATGAAGAGTAGGCGATTAAAACAAGAATCTTTCAAATCTTTAAATGTACCTACTTTGGAACACAGAAATTTCACTTCCTAGAATATATCTTATAAAAATACGAATGCAAAAAGAGGCCTGCAGAAACAAGAATACTTGTTGTGACGTTGTTTTTAAGTGAAAAGTTGGCAACAATCGGAATATTCATCCATCTGGAAATGGTTAAATAAATGATAGTAAATTTAATCTATGAAATATTGTGTATCAATTGAAAAGACCTAGAAAGAATTCTAAGACTTGTTAAAAGTAAGCAACACAAATAATATAATCTCACCCAATTTATGTAAGATAATATATATCTACATCAACGTCCATATATGTGTGCATGTAACAAGGACAGGGAGGGAGAATGCCAGACTCATCTCAGGGGTTGCCTCTTGCATAGAGGATGAGGGGAGGGGCAAATAGAGGCTTTCTTGTTTTTATGCTGTATGATTTTTCACTGTTTGATTCTTTTGCACTCCAAATACATTCCAGTATCAATTATGCAGTGTGATATAAATTCGAAATTAAGAAAAGTACATCAAAATACATATAAAATCTCATACGCTAACAAGTGGTGAAGGTTTGTAATAATGTAACGGAACTGAGCAATGGGATGGCTAGTACAGAATATTCTACCACCATCAGCCAAAGACATTTCTGGGCCTTAATGCTTGATTTAGCCTGTAAGTCCTTGACTTCTCTCCAGAAAGACTCCTGAGCAAAAATGCCTCTTTCATATTTTCCATGTGAGTCATGTAATTGAGACTAATGGACAAGTTAACACATTTTTGCAAATCCTGTCATCTCTCTCCCTACCCCTATCTTTTATTGAACTTTATCATTTAATGCAGCATGTTAAAAAAAATTAAAAGCATATAAAGGGAATGAGGGTGAGATCCCATGAATGAGAGAAAATAATACATAAGCTACTGCTTGTCTCAGTGTACAAACCCAGAAGAGATTTTAACAGTTTCTGCTTGCCAAGTAAAAAATTAAATTTAACTAGAGAATGAATCGTTCTCTCTTTTTTCTGCTCCTTAAGGAAGTTAGTGTTATTGAATGACAAGCATTGTAGGTGAGCAATTATGTACAGCAGGGGTCCCCAGACGCCAGACCAAGCTGCACAGGGCTGCACAGCAGGAGGTAAGCAGCCAATGTGCAAATGAAGCTTCATCTGTATTTGCAGCCGCTCCCCAGCGCTAGTATCACTGCTTCAGCACCATCTCAGATCCTCAGGCACTAGATGCTCATAGGAGCACCAGTCTCTGGTGTCAAAAAGGTTAGGAACCCCTGCTGTACAGAATACAGATCCTAAGAGAAGTCACCTAAACTTGGACCACACTGCATAGACGGCAACCAATCTCTATCCTGCTGTGCCCTAGTCCTGCTCAGCCTCCTCCATTAGCCCTAAGGGCAGACACCTGTCTCCAGCCCCACCTGGACCCTGGGCTCCTTGGGGATATATCATTGACACCTCACCACGGTAATGCCGTCATTGAGCAGGGCCTCCCCGAAGATCATCATATACAGCTGCTCATTCACACGTGCCTCCTCGAACACAGCCAGGACAGCCACCGGGTCCACCGCGGAGATCATGCTGCCGAAAACCAGGTTCTGAAGCAGGGTGACATCTCTGAGGCCAAAGGCCTCGATCTGGCAGATGAGGTAGAGGGAAAGGCCAATGCCGAAGGCGTTGGTCAGGGCCCCCAAGCCTGCCCACCAGAGGATGGAGCCAATGTTCTCAAAGAAAGGCCGGGTGGGCATGAAGTAACCACCTTCCAGGACGATGGGTGGAAGGAGATACAGGAAGTAGATGCTCGAATCCATGACTGGAGGCGATTTGTGGTCGGTGCCAAAAATGATGGCGCCCACCAGAACCCCAACAATGATGAGGAGGCAGCTCTCCGGCACGAGGCCCGGCAGTCGGTGGTAAAGGCGGAAGCCTGGGGAAGAGCAGAGAACCGCATTTACGTATGTGCTAATATCAGGGTCGGGCTGCCAAGAGTCCAGGAGATGCTGCACAGGAGGCCTCGTAAAGCCAAGCAGATGGAACCTTGGACAAATTGGCTGGCCCATCTGAGCCTTGGCATCCATCTGAGCCTCGGCACCCCTCTGCAGCAGAAACTGGAGGTGTTAATGGGGCTTTGCCCAAGTCCAAGTACTTAGCAGTCCATTCTACATCCTACTGCCAGGTGACTTTCCACACTGTGTGGACTGGATTGTTTTATTCTCCACCTACAACTCCGAAGGTATGCAACGTATCTCAAGGATTTCAAACTGAGGACATTTGTGAAGCACCCCCTGGGCCAGGACTAACATGCTGGGAAGAAGGACTGTGAAAAGATGGACCAAGCATGCTTTCTACTAGTCCAACTACTGACATTTTAGAAACAAGACATTAAAAAATAAGAAGACGAAAACAATATAACGTGTAAATATACAATGAAGCACATAATGAATATACTAGCAAATATGATAAGAGATTGGAGCACAGCAGGTCCCCGGGGGCTCTCTCCAAGTCAGTATTCCTCACACCTGTTCTATCTTTATACATCCTACATCACAACCACCCACGTGCCTTTTCGCCTGCCAGGCCACCTTTCTTGTCTTTATATACTGTTGTTGCTGCCTGGATCGTCCTTTTCTTCAACTTATTTTAGTCCTGTTCAATCTTTGAGGTTAAGCTTTTCTTCATCTCTTCCAAAAGAAATAACATCCCTTCTTGTGAATTATTATAACTGTACCTATCTAACAACAATCATCCCTTTCTACCATTTTTTTTGTGCATAACTTATCTCTCCCACTAAACTCCTCAAATGCAGGTAAAATGACAGACATCTCTCTGAGCAAGGTGTCTACGACATAACTGCTGGTCTGTTTCCTGAAAGAATCTCTAAGTGTATAAATGAATGAATGAACAGGTTAAATGTTCATCAGAGAAGATTTTACATGGGAACAGAAGTTAAACAAGTTGTTGGAGAATAATTAGGACTTACATAATTGGACAACAAAATTGTCCGTTTTAGAGAGAGAGCACTCCAAGAGAGAAAGAAGAGAGACAGGAATGCTCCTTCATAACTGCTACTCATTTTGAACTAGGAAGGTATGAAGCTTAAATGGACATTGTTAGTTTGAAGACCTCTTGTGTGATTTGTTGAAGGATTAAATTACACAAAGGGTGTCAAATTATCTCTGAGAAGTGGTCAAGTAAAAATGGCTTTCTATAGAGATAATATTAATGTAGGGAGGAGACAAGAGAATTAAAATGTTAATCAAGCCACAATTAGAGACTGCAATATGCTGATCAGCCCTGCAGCCAGGCCAGCAGTATACCTGCAGAACAAAGGAAGATTTCAACTGGGATTTGCTAACAACCCATTCCCCACACTTGTGGAGGGGAAACATGAACCAACAGAGTCTGTCCCTATGGCTGAACCCATTGGGGGACCTATGGATTAAAGGCTGGGAACTGCCAGCAGGCCTTTCACTCTACTTATTCTTATCTTTTCACAGCTACATGCTCTTCCCCTCACTGTATGTCCACATCAAAGGAAACGAGTTAATAAGTTTTTTAAACTATAACTCACAGAAACTGAAGAACGATATATAAACTGAATTCCCCGAACACTCAGGGTTCCTCTCAGTGCCACTGTCTCTCTCACTATCTCTCGCACTGTCTCTTTCACTGTCTCTCTCACTCTCTGCTTCTGAGAGACCACGCTCTGTCTGTGGAGTGCTATCCCTTTTCTAATAAACTTTCCTGTTGACTCTAACTTTGGCATGTGTGTTGAATTCTTTCTACACTCTCTGCCAAAAGACCCTCTTCTTCTCTCGGTACAGGGTTTGGTCTCTGCTCTGCCCTGCCCCCCCAAATTGCGGAAATTTGCCTTGTCCTGCATCAATATTGTCACTTCACTGCTGGAGTCTAACACCTTTCAGGCAACTGCATGGACAGTGAGAACATCCAAGTGATCTTATGCGGATCTTAAGTTTTCTTTTCCAAACAATGCTAGAGACGGTCCCTCCCCGACCACTCCCCACCCCACCCCCGCCATTCCTCTTCATAGTAATGGGTGAAATTGGTCTGGGAATCAGGAACTAAATCTGCCACTGACTAACCAGTCACTTTGTCTAAGTTCCGGTTTGTTCATCTGTGAAATTTTTTCTAAGATCTCTTTTTGATGCAAATAAAGATGTTTTCATGGAAAAGAAGCTTGCATTCTGTATCAGTAAACATCTCACTGCAGAAAGTATATATTTTATCTTGGTTTTATATTAGCAATAAACCTAGATTGTTACTTAGAAGTATTGGACGTGGCCAGACTCGGTGTGTCTGTAAGTTTATAGTATTGTAAGGACACTACTGTTCATAGAACTGCTGGTTTAAATGTTCTTGGTTTTCATGTTATTGTGATCCAATATACTTTAAAAAAAAGAAAATAACTTAAGTAGGTTATCAGCTGGGTTATACTTATTCAAATACAATTTTATATTCTCTAGTCTTAAAGAATTCAGATAATTTTTATATTGTATATGAAAGGAAGACCACGTCTATTAAATATATGCTATGTGCTAAGTACTGGGCTTGTACTTTTATGTACACATTCACCTGTTTTTTATATAACTTTAACACTTAAGGATCCATATATATTTTCCAGATTCTATGTTATAAAAAACTTGAATTAAATATAATTAATAGTCATTATTATTATTTAGTCTTTTATTCAGTCATTCTAGCAAGCCACATTTATTGAGCACCCGTGCAGTGTGTGGAAATGACTGTGGTCCCTGGCCTCAGAAGACTTAGTTTAACGGGGAAGACAGATGAATCTGGCACTGCCTGGTAGGCATTCTGACAGAAAAACAATTCTCCCCAAGCCTTTTTAAAACACCAACTACGCATGTTACAAAAGAACGATATTATAGAGCAAAGGTTATACAAAGTCACTAGAGACTTTCTTGTTTATCTTTTACTTTAGTTCCACTTTTTGGAACATTATAGAAGGATGTTTTTTGAATCACTTGGCAGAATGGAATGCAAGGGCCGGCTTTAACCATTAGGTGGAACTTTGTTATCTCATTGAGGCGCTTTAAGTTTCAGGCACTGGAACCATAAAATCTCAGAGTGACTGACTTCCTTGTCCACCACAGAAGGAGAGAAGAGATGTGAAATATGAAATGCAAGTAGCGTTTCCATTGACTGCGCCCTGCTTACAGGCACGAAGCCTCTCTCTGCTGCCACCATGTAGGTGCAGCTTGGCTTAAGGCAGGTGAACGTTGGCTCCATTTCATGAAACTCGATTCCTGGAAGCAGGACCAAACTGGGGAGACACTGAGGAATTTACCCAATGGGCTTCTCTTTTTTATTTTAAAAAATTCCCTGTGGCTAAAATAAGCACTGGAAAGACGAGATGAAGAAGAAGGGGGCTGGGGTGTTGGGGGTAGAGTTGTCATAAGGAAATGAAAAGAGCAGGACTCTAGAAGGAGGCCTTGTAGGCATGTGGTTTGGGACAGGGTCTCTTGATACTAATGACGCTCTGTTGTATTCACCTGCCTTCTACAGTGAATGGAGAAGTTCAAAGCTGTGGTCAAGGAAACCCACATGCTCTTTGGACGGCTGAAACTGAAAATTTGTAAGGAGACATTCGATGGCTCCCCATGCATGGCCTAGGGGAGAAAACCTATACTCAGCCTTGAACTCAAGGCCCTCCACTATTTGGTCAAAATCATCTCCCAACTCTTCCCCCAATACTCTTCCTGATTCAAAACTTGCTCCAGCCAGGTGGATCCCCTCAATGAATGTCAAATATAATTAATAATTAATACAGCAGTATCCCTGACACATGGGTAGTTAGATGAAAAGACCATAGTTCTGATGCCAAGGGGTTAACTGCCAGGTCTCATGGCTCAACCCATATTTCACACCCATCCTAGAGGAAAAATGTAAATGAGCCTTGCAATGCTTTATAGATTCCAATAAAGCAATTTATCTACTCAAGTAACAAATGTTGTTATACTTAACAATAGAGACAATTGTAACAGTTTTCCACTTTGGAATAAACTGGTTTTAAGGAGACAAGGGGCGGAGTTAGGGATTAAATGGTCACAGAGTATAAACCATCAGGTTGGTTATTGGTACAAAGAATCTTGCTTAGAATTTAATTCATTTGCTTGAATTCATTTTATTTCACAAAGAAAACCAGAAGTGCCCCACAGGCTTCATTTGACCCGGGTACAAATCAGTATTTTACTGAGAGATATCATCTCATATGCTCCCATATCCCGTTGCTGGGTGATATAAGAGTCATCTGTGATTGTCATGCTCCTTGCTTTCTGTCAATTTGAAGAGAGCACACGCCACTTGTAAAGAATCAACAATGGAGTCTACAGCCATGCCACCCTGAACAAGCCCGATTTCATCAGATCTCGGAAGCTAAGCAGGGTCAGGCTTGGTTAGTACTTGGATGGTAGACCACCAAGGAAGACCAGGTGCTATAGGCATAAAAAAAAATTAAAAAATTAAAACAAAACAAAACAAAACAAAAAACCAAGAGATTGTAAGCTGACAAGGTCCTTACAATCTCTGAGGCCAACCAAGGGTTGCCTCACCTTAAAAAAAAAAAAAAAAAAAACTATCAACTATGGGAGCCATTGATGAAGCCCCCGGTTACATGGCCAAGAACGAAGGAAGAATGTTTTACAGAAGAATCATTATGTGGTTTCTGAAATATCCAGTGGGCATCATTCTAAAGTCTATGTGCTTTACTCTATGGTATTTTTTTAAAAACATAGACCTTGAGATTTTTGCATGCCAAATAATGTCACATGGTTGTCATCCTAAAATGAAAAGAAATCAAAACAACTCAGGACCCAAAGGTATGCTCTTAAATTTCAAAGCATAATTCTGAAGCATTAAAAGTCTTTATAAAAAGCAGTTATGACTTTTCCTTGAGTTTAGGGAAGAGAATTTTTGATGTAATAGCAGTAACAGTTACAACCCACTCAGCTCCGCATATTCACATACAATATCTCACCTGGAGAACTCCCACAAGCAGGTGCTTGAAGACTTACCTATTTTTGCGAGGGATGCTAGAAGTATCCAGAGGGTGACCTCATAAGGAATTTGCACGTAGTCATAATCCAGTGCAAAAACAGATATCTCCTCATCTGGCTCTGAGCTGGCAGCAGCAAATCGGACATTATGTTCATGGTGAGCAGTGGCATTAGTGGATTCATTCAAATCAGAGGTAGCTTCAGAACACTTGAGGGCCACTAGCAAGAGCCACCAATTCCAAACACGAAAAGGCACCTGAGAACCCATGGCGCGGGCTTCTCCTACCCTGTGTGTTGTCGTGTGCCACACCTCTGAAGTGAGAAGGGTTTCCGGAGAGCAGTGGCATCCACCTGGTCAAAGATAACATACATACCATCTGTGGGTCATTCCAAGTAGAGTCTGAGTGTGTCATTGAGTTCCGAGTGACAATGTTTTCAAACCTTCTTTAAAAGATTTGTGTTCGGGCAACTCAGCTTCCAGCTCAAATAAAACCATTCAGTATACTTGTTGAAGACCACGGTGTTACCTGTGGGACCTGTATCCAATCATGGCTTGAAAAGGGAAAGAATATCTCTTCATTCAAGGCTGTTTCCTCACTTCTCTGCACACTGTTTTAATCTCGTGAGTGGAAATGAAAAAGAACACCATCCACATATCGTTGGACTCCCTCTAACCAGAAAGGAAAGCCTTCCCTCTGCACCAGAGCCCAGGAAGGAGCGACTTGTCCTGCACCTGCTCTCGCCCTTGTTTTGAATAGCCAAGGCTGCAGGTAGCTCTTGCACTTAATTATTTGCTCTGATTTGACTTTTGTAATGAAATGCTTCCTCCTGAGTGTTCTCTGTGGGTTCCATTGCTGACACCTAGTGGGCAACTGTGATAGGACACTTTGGCATGCTCAGTGATAAACTCTTAAGGCCACCATGTCATTGTCAACCAGGGCACTTTTGAGAGTTAAGAAAAGCTATCAATATATGCCAGGCCATAAGTGTAAACCAGGACAGGCACACTATGTCCTCTAGTGTCTATCAATGGGGGGTCGCAGGCGCAGAACACATTACTGGACTCTGTGAGCAACAATTCAAAGAAAGAATGAAATCCCAGTTCTCCATAAACTTTGTGTGGTATTGAAAGACACAATTTATCAGAAGAACAAGCTCCATGAAACAGATCTAAAAACTCAGTTTCAAAAATCTCTATGGTACATCTAAATTTTTCATTTTATGAATTTTGTTATTAAGATCTATTTGTTCAAAAGAAGCAATACAACAGAGTGTTTATGGAAGAATTTTGAGATGGAGTCTATGGATCTGGCCCGGTGACCTAGGCTAATTACCTTTCAAAGTGTCTTTATGTGAAAAGGAGAAGGATAATAATAGCTACCTCATCAAGTTGTTGGAAGTATAAATGACATAGAGCAGGCATACTATCTTGCACTTAATAAATGTTAATTTTTATTATTTCAACCACATTTCTAATTCTATATGAGAAATAAGAACTCTATTTCAATGATGGATAGCACTCCATAGAAAATGAGAATTACTATTCATCTTCACTATCTCAACACCTCTTCCATATCAAACTGCAGGATGATTTGTATTTTTTTCTTCGTTGACATGAGTGAGTGTAGATGATTCTCCCTCAACAAACTAAGTAAAGATATTGGGAAATCGAGGTAGGAATTGTTAAGGAGGGGCAGTATCTAGATGAAACTTCTTAGTAAGACAATAGAATCAAGAACTCATTTACAGATAAAACAAAGCCTTCTTTTATACACACCAAAACTACAACAAAGAAAAGAAAAAAAAGACAAGTTGGACTTCATCAAAATAGAATTTTTTTCCTCCAAACTATACTAATAAGGAATGAAAAAAACAAACAAACAAACAAACAAAAAAACCCAGCCCACCAAATGAAAAAAACAATTGTAAATCAAATATCTGATAAGGAACATATATCCTGGATACATAAAGATCTCTTACAACTCAATAATAAAAAAGATTACCCAATTAAAAAATGGGCAAAGAACCTGAAAAGACATGTTTCAAAAAAATGTACAAATGGTCAATAAGCATACGAAAAAAAAGGCTCAACATCATTAGTCATTAGGGAGATGCAAATCGAAACCATAATGAGATATCACTTCACAGTTACTGGAATGCTAAAATGGCAAACAAAGCAAATGAACAAACAAAAAGACAGATAATAACCAATCCTGCCAATAATGGCAAGAATGTAGTGCAACACTATAGAATGCTAGTGGAAAGCTAAAATGGTACGATTTGGCTGTTTCTCAAAATATTAAACAGAAAAACTACATGACCCAACAATTCCACTCCTGCCTCAAAAACCTGTATATGATTTTTTTTAGCAGCATCATTTGTAACAGCCAAAAAGTGGAAACAACTCAAGTGTCCGTCACTTGTTGAATAGATAAATAAAATGTTGAATAGCCATCCAATGAAATGATGTGCTGATACATGCTACAACATGGATGAACTTGAAAACATTATGCTAAGTTATGTTAAGTGAAAGGAGCCAGTCACAAAAGACCACCTTTCATAAGACTATATTGATGTGACAAGTCCGAAATAACAAATCTGTAGAAACAGAAAGTAGACTAGCTGTTGCCTAGGCCCCTGGTGAGAGGAGAATGGAGGGAGAGGGATGGAGAGTGACTATTCCTGGTCATGAGGTTTTCTTTGGGTCGATAAAATATTCTAAATTCATGGTTAAGGCTGCATGATTCAATGAATATATTACAAACCTTTGAATTGTACACTTTAAGAGGGTGAATCATATAGTATTTAAATGGGTGAATCATACAGTATTATACTTCAATAAAGCTGTTTGAAAGACTAGGGTGTGAGTCAGAAAAGGGGGGTCATTTGTTATGACTCAGTGATAGCTTCATAAATTGATTGCTTGGTCACATGGGATATCTTCCAGAAAGCTACATGGAATCGCCATGCTTTACAAAATCTATGAGAAATGGGAAGAAAGAGAAAAGAGAGTCCTTCTCATCTATCTGTTATTGGTCTGCATTTGCCCCTCAGAACACTAACTCCCTTATACAGTTACCAGATATCTGCTGGGAAGCTAAATCTTACACCTTGCACTATAAGGCTTCATGTTGGCCTGGAAGTAGAAGAAGCCACAGTCTCCTTGGGTCCAGCCAAGCTGAGAAAAATGGAGAGCTTGAGCCTGAAGGAGCCCTTGATAATGCTGGAGCAGAAGACAGTAGAGACGCTGCAATTTATCATAGAATAATGAAAGAAAGAAAGAAAGAAAGAAAGAAAGAAAGAAAGAAAGAAAGAAAGAAAGAAAGAAAGAAAGAAAGAAAGAAAGAAAGAAAGAAAGAAAGAAAGAAAGAAAGAAAG